ATCTCTTACAGTTGGTGTTTTCTGCACCACTAGTGTCAACCAAAAGTAAAAATAATGATTGTAACACTTGGGATTATTTTACAGGGTCCTCCAGCAGTTAAGACGAGATCACAGTAGAGTCATGTCTTCAGAGCGGACACCCTTCACTTCATTTAATGATGTCATTGACAATTTACTGCCCTATCATGTTTTCCAAGGCTCTCCACCACAAGATGAAGATTTCACCAAAGGTGCATTTCAACATTTCCTCAACATATATAATATTTAACCACAGATAAGTATTGACTGAATGTGACCTAGGTTCTGATGACTGTTTTTGACTTTACAGTTGATGAGGAGTTTGAGGCAGTTGCCATACAAATGTTAAACAGAACACAGGCCATGGTGAACAAATACAGGCGCTTACTTATGGTGGAGGCAGAGGTATGTTTAGAACACAGCCCTTTAAATAATGTACAAAGGACCTCTTTGCATTATTTAGGCGATTACTCTAATATTAGGTAATTACTCTAATATTATTCCCGTTAATGCAAAACCAAACACTGCTTCATGTTCTTTCAGAGGTCCAGCCCTTCATCAGAAATGGTGATGATTGACAGGACTTTTAATCAAGAGGAACGGGGCAACTTGACCCAAGACAAACGAATGGTAATAGTGGATCCAGGTAAGAGATGGAAGCCTCTATGAATTTATCCATTTTCATTGTCTGTCATTGTTATTAAAACCTAAGTAAAAAGTTTTACAGATGTTGTGTTTAAAACCATGTCATGAGTTGACTTAAAGTATCTTCGCAGCATTTCCAATTAGTTTTATTTTGGTTAAATAAAGTAGTATTTGTAAATAAAATGTATTTTTGGAGTTTGGTACTCATACTCTTTTGTGATCAACTTGTTCAATTTTTTAAAATGTGCATATGGGTCATTCCATGAAATCGGTGCCTTTTGCGTCCCTAAGAAATAATCAAACATAGATTTAATTTAACAACAAATAAATGTGCAATTTAAAAGCATAATAATACTATGTATGCTTTCATCAATATTACATAAAAAAAAGTCAATTAAATATTATTATATAAAACATGAGGTAGAAAAATAGTCATAAAATAATAAATTACATAG